GCGGCAGCTGCTGAGCACCATGTACTGGTGGGCGAGCATGGGAAAGGATGTAGCAGGATTAGTGGCGAGCTGCGAGGCTTGTCAGAGGAATAAAGCAAGGCTGGAGAAAGAGAGGGATGAGCTGCATTCGTTACCAATTCACGGGTTGGGCTACAGGTGGTCGCTGGACCTCGCGGGGGAGCTACCGCTGTCGAAAGGGGGGAAGCAGTACATTCTGGTGATGGTTGAGCACACGAGCAAATGGGTGGAGGTGCGTGCATTACCAAGCAAGAACAGCGCACTGATAGCAGACGCATTTGAGGAGCTGGTGCTTACCAGGTATGGGGCATGCGGAGAGGTACTCACTGATCAAGGGACTGAGTTCCAAGGGAGCTTTGATGAGCTGTTAGAGGAGATGGGTATCACGCACAGGGTCACCTCTAGGTACCACCTGCAATCAGACGGACTGACCGAGAGGCTCATACAGACCTTGAAGAAAGGACTTCGGGCCTACAGTGAGACCCACAAAAGGAGCTGGGACCGAGATCTATGGTGGGTACTGGCTGGGTACAGGTTCGCAAAGCAGGCGGCACTGAAGAACCTATCCCCATACCACCTGCTGTTCGGACGGGACCCTGTGCTGCCGGTCGACGCACCGAAGCTGCTCTCTGCGGTTATAGAGGCGGATGAGCCGAACCTGTGGGCGGAGTTAGCATATAAGAGGGCGAAGTATTTGAAGGAGCTGACTCCGGCAGCCCTGGATAATCTCCACGTGGCGCAGTTGCGTGATGCTAGACGATACCAGCAGCGTAAAGCATCAGGGGTGGGAGGAAGGGAAGACAAGGTGGAGGCAGGACAGGAGGTGTACCTCCGCAAAGCTAAGCGCGACACGCTGGACTTAGCTGTGGGTTCAGAGCGGTGGAAGGTGAAAGAGATTCGAGGCTCGGGAGTGTTAGTGCTGGAAGATATCCGAGGGGGAACCATCAAGGAGCACATCACCAACGTGGCCAGGGCGGGACAAGGGAAGCCTCAGGCATTGGGTCCCGTGGCTCGAGCGGCTAAGATGAGCGCTGAGACACGGGAGGGGGCAGGGAAGCCTGAGATACCAGGAGGATTACAGGACAGGGTGATTACCTACACCAGGAGGAAGAAGGGCTGAACCTGTGGTAGGGAAGGAAGGAGATAAGGGAGAATCAGCGGGATACGCATGGGAGAGTGAGAATGAGAGTCTGCAGAGGAGGATTCACGACATAGGCTATACTTGCCTTGACTAGGCTATACTTGGCTGACTAGGCTATACTTGGCTGACTAGGCTACACTTGTTTGACCAGGCTATAATAGCCTGGGCTATAATCTGCCTGACTAGGCTTTAATTGTTTTGACTGGGTTATACTTGCCTTGACCAGACAATACTTGCCTTGACCAGACAATACTTGCCTTGACTAGACAATACTTGCCTTGGCTAGACAAAACCTGCCTTGACTGGGAACTCTTTGCCTTGACTGCCAATACGTGGCTTAGCTTGGTTTACCCTAGCTTGGCTTACCCTACCTTGCCCAGGCCTGGTCGGGATAGCATGGACTTGCCTAGCCTGACCTGAATTGGCTTGGATTCTCTGGGCTTGACCTGTACTTGCCTGACCTGAACTGGCGTGGATAGCCTAGGCTGGGCTTGACAGAGGCTTGGCAAAGCTTGGGTTGGCTTGGTTGAACATGGTCTGGCCTGCTTTCCATTTCTGGCTTGGTCTAGCTTTGCTTTGCTTGGCTTGGCTTGGCTTGGCTTGACTTGGCTTGGTATGGTGTAGGTTGGCCTGTTTTGTTTTGTCTTATGCTTTGCTTTGACTGTCCTGGCAAGGCTTGGCTTTGTTTGATTTATCCTCTTGGCTTGCCTTGGATTGGCATGCATGGAGTTGTCTTGGCATGGCTTGGCATGGCCTGGATTGGCTTGGATGGACTATGTTTAGCAATGCTTGGCTTTGCTTGGCCTGGCGAGGCCTGGCTTGGTCTGGCCTGTCCTGGCCTGGCGATTCTTGGCTTGGCTAGGCTTGTCCTGGGTTGGACTGGTCGAGCCCGGCTTGGCATGGCTTTGCATGGCTTGGCTATGCTTGGCTTGGTTTGCCCTCCAACCTGGCTTGGCTTGGCTTTAATTTGCTTGGAATAGCTTTACTTGGGTTGGGCTGAACCTTGCTTTTCCTAGGCTTGGATCGACTAGGCTTGGCTCTGCTTGGCTAATCATGATGCATAAAAGAAGCGCTGTTGATTTATATTTCACGGTACATCCATGCATTGGACCGTATTCATTGTATCTAGACTTCAGAAAGAGATGGGAAACGTTTCATTCGAGCATGATGACACACATAAATCCTCCCCCTACTGGTACTTCCTCTGCGTCACACATTTGTTCTTCTGCCAGTCCCAGTTACTCTGGATCAGAAACCTCATGTTGTTCATCCCAACCAGATTGTACTTGTACGTTCCACCGCGGCTGTCCTTGCCCGTTTTCGTCTGACCAACGTCCATGTAACACTTGTCCGCATTCTCACCGTTCTCGTCGCCCCACCCGGTCTGAACATCTGGGTCCGTTGCTGCTTCCGCAATCTCATGAGAAATGGTTGAAAGCGTGAAATCGATCGCAGGGTTGCCGTTGGGAGACGGTTTCGGAATCCATTCTTCTTTGCACTGCCCGTGATGCCCCACGAACGAGAATACAACCGGCGTTTCGGAATCGATGTAGCCCATGCTGTGCCACCCCATATACTCGGTACAGAAACCCGGGACGGTGACATCCTTGCTGGAAAGAAGCAGGTAGATGCCACTCGCGTCGTACGGAAACGGCTTTCCAGCGCCAATCTTGTTGGAAAGAACTGCAACAGAGGAGGGCTTTTTAATAGTTCAGATTGTGACAGAAACGTATCCTGACTTGCTTACGGCAGTGCCTAGTTGCTCAACGGCAGGTATCATCATGCTGGAAGAGGTGGAGTGGTGGAATGCTGCGAAATGCTGGAAGAGGCCGCGAAATGGTTTTGCCGTGCTGCGTACCTTCCCAAACCGTGTCTTTGCCAAAATCCTTTCCCGCCGAGTAGTTGTCACGGACAGTCCTGGCGAGGCGCACCTGGAATGAAACGAATGCAAAATAATTTGCATTTCATTAAGTTGATAGAGAGAGACGAGGCGCTTTATGGGAGGGGTGTTGTGGCAAAGTTATGAGGGAGTAGTGGCAACGTTTATGTGCAACACACCTTGCTGCTGACGTTCGTCTTTGTGCCGTCCTCTTCCTCCTGCGTGTAAGCCGCGCTGATCGCCCACCAGCGCTTCACCTTGGGATCCGCGGGACTCCCCTGCCGCTGCGAGTCCGCACTCAGCGATCTGATGAAATTCTCGATTATTTTCTGCCCCGATCCTGCCGGCCAGCTGCCGTAGTAGATGATGTACACGTTGATGGACGGGTTTCCGGTCATCACAGGCCCTCCTCCGTATGTTATTGGAGCGCTTGGATCTTCAGACGTGTGCACACGCGTGGTCGCGCCACGGCCGACAAATGTCGGTCAGCTGGCGCTGACGGCGGTGCTCTTCGTGCGCCCGGGGCGTGCGCGCAATGCGTTGCTTACTAGTAAGCGGCGCACCGGCGGATGCGAGAGGGAGAGGCGAGAGGCAGACGAGGGAGAGGACAACGAGCAGCAGGGAGACGTTTCCCGTGAGTTTTGCCATTTAGACGGGCTGTTGGAGAGGCTGGGGTTCTTCAAGGCGGAAACATTAACAGGGATATATATGAATACTGTTAAATGCGGACGTGGAGTGATCAGAAACGGGATTTAAAGCAGGTGCGAACAGGATGGGTGACGACCGAGGGAGGAAGGAATGCTGATAAGAAGCGATGAGAGTAGTCATTTATACCTCTGAGGATGGGTGCTCAAACACTTGCAGTGCTGGGGACGTGTGTTTGTTTCATGAATGTCACGATTCTTTTCCTTTCTTTACTTCTCGGCACAGGGAGAAAGCATTTCCCCGCAATGTCAATGTCCAATGGTTTCGCGACTCGATTTCCCAGAAGGTGTTCGATGTAGCTGGCGGTGAGGGGTGGAAAACACGTTTTCCAGTGTACGATTAAATAGACTGCTCTAAATCGTACAATAACGCGCTGAGCCGCATTCAGAAGTACATTCGGGACCTGCCCCGAACCCACAAAATCGCGGCTCGATCTCCTCGAGGAAGTCCGAAATTCAGTATGGGTGTATCACCTACACTGCATATCCCTAGTCCAAATCGAGTACGTTATGCATTAGAAATTGCTTCTAATACAAGTAGCAAAACGATGCATATATGCTAACCAACATCAAGAGTTCCATTGAACAACAGGCATTGGACTGAATACCCAATCGCAATTTACGCCCTGCGGACAATTTTTGGTATTACACATCAATGCCTTGTTTCTGAAGACACCCTCTCTACGTGCTCACATGTTGGTCTGTCTACCTAACCTCACAAAAGCATTTACCACCGAATACATATTTACAAGTTAAAATCCCGCCTGTTTCAACTACTGAAGGCCTTCTCATGCTGGCGATAACCCTGCCACTACTAACTTCGACCCTTCAACGTTCCACGCATTGGCACCCCCCTTATATCAGCTATAATATTTTGTTTATCTTCAATCACCACCAAAATATGCACACTACAGTACAGAGAGACAACGATGAGTCACCACTCTCACTCAAGAGCTCCTTGCTCTTGAGTCTTCAATTCTTCACATCCCCGTGCTTCCTGTACAAACTCACAAATTATACAAAACGTTACATACCTCCACCTATCCCATCGTTTTTACCACCACCCACCGGCCCGTACCCCCCAACTCTCTGAAAACCACCCTCCCCTGCCGCCCATCCTCCCTGCCAACCATTGTCCCCATCACCTTCTAAAACGTTGCGTACCTTCACCTCTCACACTCTTTACCACCACCCTGTACCCCAACCCTTTATGAACCACCTTACCACCTTATACGCAACACCATACCACCTTACAGTCTTACATCCACTGCCCACAGGAGAGGACTACAGGGCCTGCCAATCCCCACGTAATCCTCCCTCCCGCCCATCCTCCCTGCCGCCCAACCTCCCTGCCGCCCATCCTCCCTGCCGCCCATCCTCCCTGCCGCCCATCCTCCCTATCATTCATCTTCCATGTCACACACCATCCGCACCATCTCTTCACAGGGGTTCTACCTGAACTTCCTGTGGCTGTCTGTGCCCCGCCGCTCACACACCTGTCCCCTAAAATCTCTGCTCAATGCTGGTCAGAATTAGCACCGCACCAAGTGCCAGCAACACATCTCAGCAACCCCGTCGCTGGTCAATGCTGGTCAACGCCAGCGCCCAGTCAGCCCAAGACCCTCATAGAACCAGAACTTTCACAAACTGGGGAAAGGACGTGTTTTCTGCAGCAAGGGGCGCCCCCAGCTGCCTCTTACTCCCAACCACACATGCCAGCGCCCTCTCATCGCTGGTCAACGCCGGTCATCGCAGGTCAGCCCTTCTCATCCAGTACAAGCCACTCACAGAACCAACCCCTTTACAAACTGAGGGAAGGATGTATCCCCTGCAGCAGGGGGCGCCCCCAGCTGCCCCTTACTCCCGCCCCCACACGCCAGCACCCTGCCATCACTGGTCAACGCCAGCATGTGAGCGTCAAAGTGGCCGGCATTCGACGTACTTATCTGCACCACCGTACCCCTTCTGCTGCTGCTGCTACCGCCTGTAGCATTGCCGGTGCTCCTCATGCCGTTTCCATTGCTGTTGCTGATGTTGGTGTTGGTGTTGTTGCTGCTGCTGTTGCCGCCGGGGCTATTAAGGCCGGAGCTGCTGCTGCTGGCAACGTTGCTGCTACCAACACTACTACTGACAATACTGCTCATCCAGTCACTCAAGCTCACAGCCATGGCATCACTACTGCCACTCCCACTCGCATCGCTACCACTCAAACTGCCACTACCGTTCCCAGAGCTACTGGTAACCACAGACAAGAGCGGTGTTACAGGAGTGACGGCACCAGAAGGACCAGATCGATCAGCAGCAGTAGCAGCAGCAGTAGCAGCAGCAGTGGCAGTAGTAGCAGCAGCAGTGGCAGTAGCAGCAGCAGTGGCAGTAGCACCAGCAGCAGTGGCAGTAGCAGCAGCAGCAGTGGCAGTAGCACCAGCAGCAGTGGCAGTAGCACCAGCAGCCGCAGTAGCAGCAGCAGCTGCAGCGTCAACAGCAGGAGCAGGAATCGTTGCAGGGTCGCTTCCTCGTCCCCCAGTGGCAGCAGCAGGCAGACTGCCCCACGTGAACACCCCTCTCACACCCGCCCTTGCACTGCCAGGTCCCCCGCCTAGCAGCGTAGGGTCTGAGCGAGGGGCAGCAGTAGGAGTTGCAGCAGCAAGAGGGGTGGCAGCAGCAGGGAGAGCAATCAGGTTGGCAGTAGATGCAAGTGCTGCAGAATCATCAGCAGCATCAGCACCAGCAGCATCAGCAGGAGCAGCAGGAGCAGCAGGAGCGGCAGCAGGGGCAGTGGAAAGAGGAGCCGGGGGGTGGGCAGCTCTCTCCTCCAGTAGAGATACCCGCCGGGGTTGCATCACATCCCGGTTGCGCCTCCGGTGCTGCCGCAGCTGGGAGAATGTGGGGGGAGTGGGCAGTGTAAGGGAGAGGGAAGAGCAAGAGGGGTAAGAGAAGCGGGTAGCTCGCTCCTCCAGCAGAGACACCCGCCTGGGCTGCATCACATCCCGGTTGCGCCTCCGGTGCTGCCGCAGCTGGGAGAATGTGGGGGAAGTGGGCAGTGTAAGGGAGAGGGAATGCAGGAGGGGTAAGAGAAGCAGGGGAATGAGCAGCTCAGAGACATCCGCCTGGGCTGCATCACATCCCGGTTGCGCCTCCGGTGCTGCCGCAGCTGGTGTGGTGAGAGGGGGGGGGGGGGGGGAAGAAGAGAAGAGGCCATTGTTTGTGGCAAACAGCGAAAACAGGCACTTCAGGGAGGTGGTCAAACGCGTTCATGCAAAACAGCACGGATCCATATTTTTGAAGAAGGGTTTGGAGACGTCTCAACACTCTTCTTCAAACGCGTTCACGCGTTCATGCAAAACAGCATGGATCCATATTTTTGAAGAAGGGTTTTGAGACGTCTCAAAACTCTTCTTCAAACGCGTTCATGCAAAACAGCATGGATCCATATTTCCTATAAAAGAAAGAAAGAAGGAAAGAAAGAAGGAAAGGAAGGAAGAAAGAAGGAAAGGAAGGAAGAAAGAAAGAAAGAAAGAAAAGCACCCACCACGATGTCATGCAAGTCCGCATCGTCCACCTCCCCGTCTTCTTCGTACTCTCCTTCTGCCATGACCCATGACCCATGACCCTACACCCACCACACTACTCACCACGATATCGTGCAGATCAACATCATCGATCTCTTCGCCTTCCTCCTCTTCCTCCCTCTCCCACCCGCCCCCATGCCCCAAACATGCGCTCTCCGCGCTCCCAAACGACCACACCTCGCCGCCCTCCCCCACCACAAACGTCGTGTAATCCCCTGCTGCCACGTGGCATGCTTTCACAGCCGGACGGAGCTTGCGACGTGAACCGTGCGAGTCATCCTTGCTGAAACCCGCCCCAGCTCCAGATGGAGAAACAGCAGCAGCAGAGGGAGAAGCAGCAGAAGCAGAGGTAGAGGCAGCACCACCAGAACCAGCAGCATCATTAGCACCAACGCCAACACCGCCCCTTCCACTCACCCCACTACTCCTACCCCCCTCCTCCTCCGTTTTACACAAGCTCTCAATAACCCTGGGCAGCGTTTCACACTGGTCCTTCCCATGCCCCAGGCACCCATGCCTGCCCCACCCCCACGTGGCAACTCTCCCGTCAGTAGCAACAGCAGCAGCATGCCATGCGCCTGCAGCAACGGCTGTGGGGGCGAACTCAAGGGTTTTAAAGTGTGCGATCTCTTTCGGGCGGCATTCGTCGTACTTTGTGCCGTGGCCTAGCTTGCCGCCCAGACCACAGCCAATGGACCAGACAGACCTGAGGAAAGGAGGGGAGAAGAGAGAGAAGGAAGGAAACTGGTGGGAGACAAATAACCTAGCTTATCAACGAAACGAACAGCTTCCCATCCTGTAGTGCAGCGTAGTAATAACTTGGAGAATTGGGAAGCTTACACAAAACTCCGTCCTAATACAAGTGTGACCACTACACACATTTTCCAAACACCAACTAAGAAGCACCGTTCTCTTTAAGCCCATCTTCGATCAATAATTCAGCTGATGTTGTTGCACTAGCATTCAGCCGAGCACTAGCATTCAGCCGAGCACTAGCATTCAGCCGAGCACTAGCATTCAACCAAGCACTAGCATTCAGCCGAGCACACATGGATGACAGGTCACAGGACATGGCGAGAAGTCAACACGAGCAAGCAGCAGTGCCCCTCCTGCTTGCTATCTGCACCGTTCTGTACCATGGCCAATACCATTCTGTCCACGGCTCATCACACCACTGCGCGAATCACTAGGCTCAAATGCCATAAGGCTCGTTGGCACAAGTCAATCCCAGCAGTTACCAGCGCCCCCCTGCTATCTGCACCACTGATCTCACCACAGGACACCACTGGGAGTATCACGAGCCTCACCTGCCGTGGGGCTCCTTGGCGCAAGTGAACCCGAGCAGGTAACAGTGTCCTCCTGCTATCTGCACCACTGGTCTCACGCTCACCACAGCACTGAACTGAGCACTAGCCTGACCTGCCGTGAGGCTCGTTGGCGCAGGTCAACCCGAGCAGGTAGCAGTGCCTCCTGCGAAATGCACCACTGGGAGAGACACTATCGCGTCACTAAGCTTATCACTCACATTACTACTATGTGTGCTCACCTGCCGTGAGGCTCGTTGGCGCAGGTCAACCCGAGCAGGTAGCAGTGCCCTCCTGCTATCTGCACCAATGGGAGAGACACTGGGAAAATATCTAACGTTTTAATAATCATGTATATTTGATGTTTCCGGATCTCAAATTTTCAACTGATTCGCAGCAAACTTTCTAAAATACGTGTTGCGTAGGCTTTGAATCATTGAACGTGACGCAGCACCAACTCGACATGCAATTACTAGTCGACGCAAAAATATTTTGATTTTGTTCCATTTGATTTATCTGTAATTCTCTCTCTATTCCTCCACTCTAAATTCTCTTCCGTCCCCTATAGCTACTCTTTCGTCCCTTATAGCCAAGCATCCACCCCCTCTGTTCCCTCGACCTGCCCACACCCTCCCTAAGCTTCCTCAAACCCCCCGTCCAACTCTCCTCGCCTCAGCCCCCTCCAGTGTTCCCCTGTCAGATCTGCAGGTATAAAAGCATTCAACAGCAAAGTCCTCTGTGTAGGTTCCTCAAAAGTTTCTGCAAAGGGTGGGGCGATGAGGGCCAAAGGAAGAAGATTGGGGACCATCACTTTTTTATTTTCCTGGCCTGTCCTGACCAGGAATGGCTTGGATTGTCCTAGCATGACCGCTGTCTAGGCTTGGCTTGGCTAGGCTTTGCTCAGATTTGTTTGGCTCGCTTATATTGACTTGACTAGCTTGACTAGCTTGGTTTGGTTGGTGTGGCTGGACATGGTTTGGCATGGAATAGCCTACCCTGATCTGGTTTGTTATGGCTTGGATTGGCTCGGCTTGGCATGGCTTATATTGACTTGACTAGCTTGACTAGCTTGACTAGCTTGACTAGCTTAGGCTCGCTTTACTGGCACGGCTACATATGGTTACGCCTATACACGTATGGCCTGGCTTGGCTTGGCTTAGCTTGGCTGATTTGATCCGGTATGGCTTAGTCAGGCCTGGCTTGCCGTGGCTTGGCTTGGCTTGGCTTGGCTTGGCTTGGCTTGTCATGGAATGGCATGGCTTGTCTTGGCTTGTCTTGGCTTGGCTTGTCTTGGCTTGGCTTGGCTTGGCTTGGCTTGGCTTGGCTTGGCTTGGCTTGGCTAGCCTGGTCTGGTATGGCATGGCTTGGTCTAGTCTAGCCTGGGTTGGCATGGCTTGGCTTGACTTAGCCAATATTTGCTGTATGGTTGGGTTAGCCTGGGTAAGCCTGGGCTAGCCTGGGTTGGCATGACCTTGGCATGGCGTGGCCTGACTTGAATGACTTGGTTGGACATGGTTCGGCCTGGCTTGGTCTATGTCATGATAGCTGGAAATCTTGCTAAAGTAACAGTAACCAGGGGTGGCAACAATGTCTCTGGTAAGAAGCAGCAAGTAAATGCCATGCGGATGGATCGTGCTCAAAGGCCAACCCTCTTCGAAACAACCGCGACAGAACGAGGGCTTTGAATGGTAGCGACAGATCTTGGATTCTTGGAAGAGGCGAACGATCACCTTTAAGACCCCCCTTCCTGGAGACCCCCCTTCCTGGAGACCCCCCTTCCTGGAGACCCCAAGCTGACTTTTGAGTCGACTCAAAAGGCAGATCTTGGATTGTTGGAAGACGAGGCGAAAGATCATCTCCAAGACCCCCCTTCGTGGAGACCCCCCTTCCTGGAGACCCCAAAGGGATGCGCGACTGCATTTCACAGAGATGGCTCGGGACTTACAGAATTGCTCGGCTCTGCTTGAATAGCCTTGAATTTGGCCGGACCTTGCCTGGCTGGGATTTGGCTTGCCTTGGCATAGCCAGGCGTGGCTTCAACTTGCCTAGCATACCCTAACTTGGCATGGCTTGTCTTGGCTTGGCTTTTCCTTTCTAGGATTGACCGGGCCTGGCTGCTTGGCTTGGTAAATTGGATTGGCCTGGCCTTCCCTAGCCCGGCTTGGCATGGCATGGCTGAGCTTGGCTTGCCTTGGTTGGACGTGGCATGCCCTGGTCTAGCCTAGTTTGGCCTGGATTTTCTTGGCTGGGTTTGGAGGCTTGTCCTGATCTTTCCTAACCTATCTTGGCTTGGCTTAACCTGGCCTGGCCTAGCCTGGTCTTGGCTGGAGCTGGTCTGGCTTGCCTTTGCTGGCTTGCTTTTCAAACTTTTCATCTGAAATAGCCGTGCCTGGCCTGGCCACCATGGCTTGAACCTGGAAAGCAGCACTGATGAAGGCTTAGCAGGGTTCTGTCCCGTTTGGCTGAAACTAGTTTACGACTAAGGGTTTTTTCGAGGTTTGGAATGTCGGAGATACAGCTCTACCCTCATCATCTGCCTTAGTCCTCATGTTCTTCGTCCCTTAGCTCCTTCGGTTGCCTGAGCCACTCTCTCCGCACGCAACCCTGACTTGTCTCTTGGTTCCCTCAGCCTGCTCAGCACTTGCACCTTCGCTTGCTGGATGCCAATCTGCCCCCCTGTGACCTCATACCCAAGATACTGCACTGTCCGCTCCCCCCACCTGCACTTGTTGGGATGGCAGGTGAGCCCTGCCCCTTCTATGGCGGTCAAGGTCCTCTCCACGTCCTCCAGGTGCTGTTGTTCGCTCAAGCTGAAGATCACGACATCATCAATATAGCACGCCGCGTGCACTATTCCCCGCAGCACTGCGTCCATGACTCTCTGAAACACCGCCGAGGCGTTCCTCAGCCCGAAGGGCATGTAAAGCCACTCGTACAGCCCATCCGGTCCGTGGAAAGCCGTTTTCTTCACATCCTCCTCTCTGATCTTGATTTGATTGAACCCCTGTCGCAGGTCCAGCGTCGTGAAGAACACCCCGTCAGCCAGCTTGTCAAAGAGCTCCTCCGCTATCGGCATTGGGTATCTATCTGGCACTGTAATTCTGTTGAGATCCCTGTAGTCCCCGCACATCCTCCTACTCAACACCTCGCCTGTCAAGTCCTTCCTGGCTGCCACCACGGTTGGGGCAGCGTATTCTGACTCTGACCTCCTGATCAGTCCGGCTTCCAGTAACTCCTTTATTTTCTCCCTGCAGATCACTTCATCCCCTGGTGGCATCTTCCTCCTGCGGTGGAACACCGGCTCGTCACTACTCAATTTCAGTGCCATCTCCTTGATCTTGCACTTCCCCAACTCCAGCAGTGTGAAGGCGAAGCCCTTCAGGTGCCTAGCCAGCAGTGCCCGCATCGCTGCCTTTCCTTCTTCGCTCATGCTCTCACCTATCTTCCACTCTGGCTCCTGTTTCTGCAGGCAGGCCCACACCCCGTGCCTCACCGTTGCCACTGTGTTCTCTCCCTCCTTCAGTCCCCAGTGCAGCACTGTCTCCTTCCACATCCGCTGCACCAACCACCTCAACATGTACCCATCCATGGCATTCCCCAATGCCCGTCTCCGTTCCTTCTCACTCACGCCCGAGGCTGCTGTCGCGTTCTCCTTGTACCCCATGGCCAGCTCCCTTTCCAAGGCCGTGGGCTCCTCCCACCGTTCCTTTCTGTGGTCATACACCAATCCTGGGCCCGGCTGCTTCCCATCCATCTGATAGCCTGCTGCCCCCTCATATGACACCAGGGTAGGCAGTGCCTGCCTTTCCTGTCCCACCTGGTTGCAGGGATAATGCCTGCTGTAGCCCTTCTTGGTCACTGGTGCTGGCGTTCTTCCTGGCTCCAATATGTCGCTCAGCTTCCTTCCCCCAGCTCTCTGCACCCCTTCTATTTCCTTCTGCAGATCTTCTACTGGTACCACATTTTGCCAGTACATCCTGAGCCTGTGCGCATATGCTCCCATCCGCGCCGCATCACTGCTCACTCCTTTTCCCACCTGTCTGGTCACTCTCTCCCTCACTAGTCTTATCGGTTCTCTCACGTCTCCCTCCATATCCAAGTGCTCCAGCAGGTAGGCCACTCTGCCTTGCCTAGCCTGCACCCACTCCATGACTCTGAACAGGTCCTCCATCAGCCGTGTTCGTAGGTCTTGCTCACCCTTGCCCTTCCCTGCCCATGATACCCCTTGGCATTCCCACCCTGCCACCAATAGGTCCACGTGCCCCCAGCTTGCTACCTCAGCTTCCGTGATGGCCCTGACATCATTCACTCCTCTGCTCATTGCTGCCTTGATCACCTTTCCCTGCAGCAGCTTCGGGAACTCTCTGTGCAACTCCCACGCCTGATGCTCTGCCATTTTCCTCACTTCCGGTGCTTTCTCCACGTAAATCCACTGCTTCACTGCAATTCCATTTCTCACCACTGCTGCCAGTCCCGCCCCGATTCCTCCGAACAGCTCCACCAGCCGAATGGGCTGCTGCCAATCGGTCTGCTGGCTAGGTTCGTCCATGAAACGCATCCTGGGCACCTCACCTTGTCCTTTGCCTGTCGCAGCCTTCTGTGCCCCCTGCTTCGCTGTCACCTCCTTCAGATCTGCCCTGTAGGCCCTTTTTGGCTCGGTTCTGACAAACTGCACCGGCAGCTGCCCCAGTGGCTCACCCTTCCTCCACCACCTGGTTCTGAACTCCACTGTCTCCCTCCAGAAGCAGATGGTCATGCCCAAAGCAAAGATCATCTCTGTGCCCACCAGGACGTCAAAGTCTTCTGACTCTGAGATCCCGCACCTGATTCTAACCGGCGTCTCATGCTTCTCCCCCTTCAGCACCGTCAGCTCTATTGGAGTCCTCGTACAGGGCATCCACTTCGACTCCCCCCCTTCTGCTGTCATCACTAACATCCCCTTCACCACATGCCTGTCAGGTGCCCACAGTCCCAGCTTTTCGGCTATCCCCTTTCCGAGTATCACGCTCTGCGCGCCAGTGTCTATAATAGCCGTCTTAGCTTTCTCCCCTTCCACTGACAGCGCACCACCTTGGATCAGCAGCACGGAAGTCTGACAAGCTAATCTCTCCTGGGGGTGCCGTGCTGCAGTGCATTTTTCCTCCTGCTCCTCCGGCTTCTGTCCTCTCTCCCGCTCCTTTCTCCCCTGCTCCTTCCGTGCATCCTTTCCTCCGCTGCGCAACCCCATTTCCTCCCTTCCTCGCCATGCCATGTATGCTGGTTGCTCCTCATGCTCCATCTCATTCTCTCCTCTTCCCGCCCAGATCATGAATGCGGCTTCTTCATCCTGCTCCACATCTTCTTCCTCCTCTT